CAAAAATTGCTTATTTTTGCCCAAATCTTCCAAATTATAGCCGTTTCTATATTGAATGATGCTCCCTCTTCATCAAGAGTCATTTCTGCGAAGTTTGAAGAAAAGTCACTTTTTGGCCAAATTTGATCAAAAATGTAAGGCTAACCCCTTGCACTTTTTTCAAATTTGGCCAAAAAATGAAATTGCTCCAAACTTTCTGGAAAGATGCCGAAGGAACCCTAGAAGGCATTTCCACTCGATTCTGGGAGAAAATTGCCTTTCAAAGGAAATAATGCGTCAATATTTTCAAGAAAAATCAGTCAAAATTATTAATATTTTCATCAAAAATTGCTTATTTTTGCCCAAATCTTCAAAATTATAGCCGTTTCTATATTGAATGATGCTCTCTCTTCATCAAGAGTCATTTTTGCGAAGTTTGAAGAAAAGTCACTTTTAGGCCAAATTTGATCAAAAATGTAAGGCTAACCCCTTGTACTTTTTTCAATTTTGGCCAAAAAATGAAATTGCTCCAAACTTTCTGGAAAGATGCCTCAGGAACCCTAGAACGCATTTCCACTTGATTCTGGAAGAAAATTGTCTTTAAAGGGAATATACAACATTTGCAAACATCGAAAAATAAAACTACCAAGGTTTTGCGAAATACCTTAATAGGATGTTGGTAAATGACAGTCTAAAGCATCCTGTAAAATTATGGCACCTGGTATACTGTCATTTTCAAGAAAAGTGGTATTTTTGTATCAATTTCCAACGCTGATCGGCCGATCAGCGTTGGAAACAACTGGCTTTGTTTCAAATACTGGCCCCAATTGACCATTGCACTTGTTTGCAATCGATTACAAACCTATGAACGGGTACGAGCCAGCTAGACTGGTTCCCTGACCTTATAATTCCCCAATGTATGTAAACTGCTTTGTTTCTTCTTATATGGAGTCAGGGAACCAGACTACAGGAAAATGATCGTTTTTCTTGGTTTTTATAGCATTTTCGAACCCAAAACCTCCAAAAAGTCAGTGTAACTATATTTGCTTTATATTTCCAACCCCCCAATTCCATCCATTTCTGAAAATTACAGCAAAAGCAAATGATGTATATTCCCTTTAAAAGGAAATAATGCGTCAATATTTTCGAGCGAAATCAGTCAAAATTATTAATATTTTCATCAAAAATTGCTTATTTTTGCCCAAATCTTCCAAATTATAGCCGTTTCTATATTGAATGATGCTCCCTCTTCATCAAGAGTCATTTCTGCGAAGTTTGAAGAAAAGTCACTTTTTGGCCAAATTTGATCAAAAATGTAAGGCTAACCCCTTGCACTTTTTTCAAATTTGGCCAAAAAATGAAATTGCTCCAAACTTTCTGGAAAGATGCCGAAGGAACCCTAGAAGGCATTTCCACTCGATTCTGGGAGAAAATTGCCTTTCAAAGGAAATAATGCGTCAATATTTTCAAGAAAAATCAGTCAAAATTATTAATATTTTCATCAAAAATTGCTTATTTTTGCCCAAATCTTCAAAATTATAGCCGTTTCTATATTGAATGATGCTCTCTCTTCATCAAGAGTCATTTTTGCGAAGTTTGAAGAAAAGTCACTTTTAGGCCAAATTTGATCAAAAATGTAAGGCTAACCCCTTGCACTTTTTTCAATTTTGGCCAAAAAATGAAATTGCTCCAAACTTTCTGGAAAGATGCCTAAGGAACCCTAGAACGCATTCCCACTCGATTCTGGGAGAAAATTGCCTTTAAAAGGAAATAATGCGTCAATATTTTCAAGCAAAATCAGTCAAAATTATTAATATTTTCATCAAATATTGCTTATTTTTGCCCAAATCTTCCAAATTATAGCCGTTTCTATATTGAATGATGCTCCCTCTTCATCAAGAGTCATTTTTGCGAAGTTTGAAGAAAAGTCACTTTTAGGCCAAATTTGATCAAAAATGTAAGGCTAACCCCTTGTACTTTTTTCAACTTTGGCAAGAAAATGAAATTGCTCCAAACTTCCTGGAAAGATGACTAAGGAACCCTAGAACGCATTTCCACTCGATTCTGGGAGAAAATTGCCTTTAAAAGGAAATAATTCGTCAATATTTCAAGCAAAATCAGTCAAAATTATTAATATTTTCATCAAAAATTGCTTATTTTTGCCCAAATCTTCGAAATTATAGCCGTTTGTATATTGAATGATGCTCCCTCTTCATCAAGAGTCATTTCTGCGAAGTTTGAAGAAAAGTCACTTTTTGGCCAAATTTGATCAAAAATGTAAGGCTAACCCCTTGCACTTTTTTCAAATTTGGCCAAAAAATGAAATCACTCCGAACTTTCTGGAAAGATGCCCAAGGAATCCCTTGAACGCATTCCCACTCGATTCTGGGAGAAAATTGCCTTTAAAAGGAAATAATGCGTCAATATGTTCGAGCAAAATCAGTCAAAATTATTAATATTTGCATCAAAAATTGCTTATTTTTGCCCAAATCTTCGAAATTAAAGCTGTCTAAATATTGAATGATGCTCCCTTTTCATCAAGAGTCATTTCTGCGAAGTTTTAAGCAGAGTCATTTCTTGGCCAAATTTGATCAAAAATGTTAAATTTTTTTGGGAAAAATCATTCAAAATTATTAATGTTTTCATAAAAAAAATCTTAATTTTGCCAAAATATTTTGGCATTTGAACACTAATACTTGTATCCAAGGAAATTTCGGCGTTGTTTGGAGAAAGATCAATGTTTGGCTCTTTTCTTTCTTAAATGTAAGGTTAACCAATTGCATTTTCTTTTCCAATTTGGCCGAAAAATGAATTTGCTTAAAATTCGCATGAAAGACACCTGAAGGGCCCTTAATCACTTTTCACCTCGATTTTTTTTACAAATTGTGACATTCCAAATTGATATTTTGGGGGAAAGTTAATTAAAATAATGATTTCATCTTCAATAAATCTGTGACTTTGCCAAATCCTCGAAATTTAGGGTATTTGGATAAAGACTGGTGTTGTTTTTTGCATCTAATAGAATTTCTGCATTGATTGAAAAAAGAGAGTTTGATTCCAAATTTTGTTAAACATGTGAGGTTAACCCCTTGCATTTTTTTCCATTGTAGCCCAAAATTAAAAATCCTGGAAACTTGCAGGGACGACGCCTTAAGAGAAGGAAAGCACATCAAAATTGTGGGTATTTAAACATCGATTGCATATTACATCCTAAGAGAATTGCTGCGTTGTTTGGAGAAAGAGTGATTGACCAAATAAAAAAAAAATGGCAAATTAAAAATGTTAGCATAAATACAACAAAGAATTGATTGCCTACAATGTAATTACTGAAGCCAGGATTTATTTAGTGTTTTTCACATGGCTACTTTGAATAAAGCGACAAAAACGTTTCTATACAAGGGGCTTGTTTTACTTGAATCGCCTACTATAAATCTCCAATTGCACCGGAGTTATTGCCGACTAAACGAACACAGTACACCTGCAACCCACAGGTCCTTGTACGACAGGTCAATGAACTCAGGCACTACACTGTAGCCTGGCCTCCGTCTCGCAGAGAGGCAGGCTCCAGACGTTTTATGGACATGAGTAAAAAAAAAAAATAACGACAAGTGTCAAAAGCTTCGAAAATATATTAATGATCAAATTTGTTATGCTAAAAGACGATGTCCGCAAAAACCCACATAAAAAGATTTAGATTCTGCACGAAATTTCTAGGTTGGGTGGGGTAACCAGAAACACACGATTTTTTTGTCATGGCCTAATTTCGAACTTTATAATTCCACTGGGAATATTACTGCAATTACAGTCGAGTCTCGTTACAAAAAACTCGTTCGGACCTAGCCAAATTGTTTGTTATATCAGAATTTTGTATTAAGAGGAACATCAGTCCCATTCATTGTGCACATAAATGCACAGTCGGGACTAAGGCTTTATGTTTGTTATAACCAGAATTTTGTATTAACAGAGTTTGTACTAACGAGAGTCGACTGTACATATTTAAAATGGTGTGCATATATAGGAATGTGTCTATCTACAAACCCCCACGTCAGCTTAGTTAAGTTTAATTTATATTGTCTAGGATTTCGACTTGTCAAGAATCACATGCGGAATTTCGAAAACGACTTTGACATAATCTGACCTCACTCCGACACCTTTAGCACATTGCTTGCATCACAACACTGCAGTGCGTACACCGCAGTGGAGCACAGAGGGTCAAATAAGAAGAGCATGTCCAGCGAATCTAAAAAAAAAGAAGAGTATTCAAAACAAAAAAGAATCTCCAAAATGCAACAGTTACAATTCTGTAATTCAATTGCATTTTTTTTCTTCAATTTATCTTAACAACTTATTGGCACAATACAGGGCGAGTCAGAACGATCTGGACCATTTTCCAGTTCACCATTTTTTTGTGGCAATATTTAGAAAAAACTGAGCGTTTCCTATGAATGGTTATTGGTTATTACCTTGTCTTTCACAGGAATTTTGATATTTTTTTCAACGTAGTGGCTGTGGTGAGGAGTTTTGCCATTTTCATTGAAGTGGCTCATTTTCCAGTCTGCACACGGAATTGGTTTTGCCTTTTTTAAATGTGTCAATAACTTCAAGTGAGTCAGTCACCATGACTAGGTTTTTATTTGTTATTACACTGCTTCACATCAGTATGCGATTTCAATAAATTTGTTGAACCATGGAACCGTGGTCAGAGTGTTTTTAGCGTGTGTTCTTTGCTGGCGCTTTTCTTCAAAATGGTACAATGGATATACATGAAACTTTCACCAAATATGTCCAAAATACCAGCCTATAACATACATGTATCTCATTTTGCACTTGTTTTGATAATTGCTACATATTTTTAAAGATTTTCTGTAGTTTAGGTCTAGATCATTCTGGCACACCCTGTATAACGAAACAAATGTTAAATAATGAATGGTTTGCGGAAACACCATGTGCGAATAATTTCTCAACTAAGAGAATGGTTCTGAAAAGAACCAGAACCATTCTCTTAGTTGAGAAATGATTCGCACATGGTGTTTCCGCAAACCTTTCATTATTTAGTATCTCCACCATGCAAAGCCTCAAATCTTACTGAAACAAATGTTGACTGCTGTTATGTGGGACGTGTTGTATACAACCTCAAGAATGCACGGTACCTACAAATTTGCCTGCTGTCAATATGACTGACCTATCGCCGTTTGTGAGTTAGCCACGCCCCTTAGACAACCCTTTGGAATTACTGTATACGTTAACTTGCGTTTGTCTCAGATTCTGCGCGTTCCGTGTCCATTCATGTATCAAGTAATCGGACAATATTTCTCGAGCTGCGTTGACGCGATTCTACCGCAATAGGATAATATTCCATCCTCAAGTGTAAAAGTAAACACATCTCCCACATCACAGCAGTCAACAACTAAATACAAAAAATCATCCACTAGACCACTGTCATCTGCTTTCTGAATGCCCAGACCGTTCGGTGACATTTGTGACGACCTCTGACCTCTGCCGCCTCCTTCTACTCCTCTTCTTTGACCTCTCCCCCTCCTCTCGAACCTTTTCGACAGTCTTTATCTTCTTCTTCTTCTTCATGGACAGCGGGTTGGGTTCCTTGGCCCGCTTTCTTTTCCTCCTGTTCTCCGCCCCTGCCCTGTCCACGGGTCCCTTCAGTCTCTTCAAGGTTTCCTTCTGATGTTCCGACGGTTTCATCTTCTGTTTGGTGAGTTTGTCGGCGTGATCCAGCGAGGTCGGGGAGGGCTTTTCCAGGATAATTGCGTTCATGTTCATGTAGAGGAGCGGCGTTCCGGGCACGCTGTGCGCAAACTCAGTCAGTTCTGGGTCCTAGCACGAGAAGCAAATGAAAGATTTTTAGTACCGTTCTCCGGTAATGAAATCAAAGAGTCAATAATAAGGGCATCCCTTTTAAATTCCAGGGTTCTCATATTTTTTGGCCTCTGAAGTAGGGTCGGTCGGTCGACGAGAACAAAATTCAAATCTGAAGAACAAACAATTGCAGTTTCAACCGTACAGATAGTTAAATGAAAGTGCGTATTGTCTCTAGATTTGTTTTTTGCAATGAGTATATCATGAGTTGATATAATTTAAAAAATAATAAAACCACATCTGGCAAGATGTAGTTGACTTACATTAGGCCAAAAAAATAAAATAGTTCTGCTTCCGGTTACCCTACCTACATGTACCCTATTTTGACAGCCCGTATCCTAATTTTTTTTGGGGGGGGGGGAAATGAGGGGAAAAAAAACAAAACCAGCAATTACTACCTTTTACCCTTTACTAGATGCAGACACCTCCATATGATCGTACCAAAATTGCCAAAAAAAATCCCTACCTACCTACCCCTATATTTAAATGCCATGTAATCAGAAGCAGAACTGGGTTTTTTTGGCCTTAAATCTGCACCGAGCAGCTTACTAACATGAATTTTTTTGCCTGTAGTGGCAGCTATGACATACCAGTAAAGGTACACTATAGACACCTAATACGATGAGAGGTAACATCCTCACATCTTCTGGGATTCCACTGGTTGCTAAATGCCGTAAGTATTTCCCGGAAAATAAAATGTGGCATTCATTTTCAATATCTTTTCAAATAACACAGAGCCTGATTGCCTGAATTTGGTATCTCATTATATCTTTTACATTTTTTTCCTGTTAATGGGGTTCCAGACAGGACCAGCGGTAATAAAAAAAGGTTATTTCTCTCGCATCAGGAGCCCAAAATGCAAATGCAGACTTTGTAAAGCAGATGCGGACGTAAAATGCAAGGCATTGCGGTTGGTGTACCACAATCACTAGTGACTCTTTTCAATGACAGCTCATGGAAGGCTGGGGCCAACAGCACCCTGAGAGTGGTGGGTATGAGCGCATCTTCCCCCCCCCCCCCCCCCCCCCACCCCCCCCCCCCCCCTTTTTGAAATTTCCAATGGTCCAGGTCCCCCTCCCTTAAAACAAAGACAAGAAATCACCACTCCTGCTTTCTAGAAAACCTCTTGTGCCAAAAAAAAAAAAAAAAAAAAAAGACAGAAAAAAAAAAGAAAAAAAAAAAAAACGAACAAGCTTGTTACAATATCCCCAGGAATTATCACCACCTGAGGGCAAGCCAACCAGTCAGCCAGACAGTCATCCATTTTTTTTTTTTTTTAGGGGGGGGGGGTAAGGCAAGACCTCGAGGGTGACTTCAGGGCTCGCTAGCCAGCAGCCGGCAGCCATAATTGTCATTGATTTCCAATAGTCAGTAGCAGCAGCCCAGCCACAACAGGCGGGTTCCCGCAATTGATAGAATCAACCTAAAGGAACGGCTGGCGATAATTTTTTATACAAAAAAAAACTGCCGTAAAAAGCTGCCAATATTTTCCAGCGGATGATTTCCTGCCAAGTTGCCGTTTATTTTTTATTCTTCCGCACCGAGTTGAGAAGGATTGAGAGGCAGTCATGTGCACAGTGGATACACCCGATTACCGCTGTACCTTGAATTGTCAACTTCACTTTTGTCGGGAAAAAAAAATTCCATGATAATTTTCAACATTTTCGTCTACTTCCCTTCTTATATTTTTAGTGATTTTCATCCTGTGAGAAAACAATTCTTTGATAAGGACAGCCCTTAACTTTTGGGAAGAAAAAAATCAACTACAATTTGACTTCAATGTACAAAGTAAGTTAAAACAAGATTTTGTCCAATTTTTTTTTTTTGCGATTCAGAGAATATAAACATGGTGCTTCACTGAACATTGTCTAAAAAAAAAAAAAAAAAAAAATCCCCATGATAATTTTCAACATTTTTGTCTTAATTCTGATGTTTTAAGTGATTTTAATCCTGTGAGAAAACAATTCTATGATAAGGACAGCCCTTAACTTTTGGGAAGAACAAAATCAACTACAATTTGACTTTGTACAAAGTAAGTTAAAATAAGATTATGTCCAATTATTTTTTTTTTGCGATTCAGAGAATATAAACATGGTGCTTCACTGAACATTGTCTAAAAAAAAAAAAAAATACCCATGATAATTTTCAACAAATGTCTTCCTCCTGATGTTTTAAGTGATTTTAATCCTGTAAGAAAAAAAAGATATGATAAAGACAGCCCTTAGCTTTTAGGAAGAAAAAAAAAATTGACTTTCTACAAAGAAGGGAAAAACAAGGTTATGTCCAATATTTTTTTTGGGGGGGGGGCGATTTAGAGAATGTTAACATTGTGTTCGATTGTTTTTGAGAGAAAAATGTGGATATTTTTTGACAAATACTTTTATACTGGAATTGCATACAGCTCCAGCCTCCAAGGTTTCAAGTATAGTAACAGTGAACTGGCTCTATACTCCTCAATCCAGCAAAATCCTCAACAACAAAAATCCTAGTGGATTCTGCAGATCTGGGAGTGGGGGGGGGGGGGGGAGGGGTGGAGAATCAAAGTGCACGTACATGCATGCAGGTAGGATTGTTCCATCTCATAATGAATCTCATTTTTTTTCCTCCGAACCACGCTACCTGACTCGCTCACAACCACAGCAAATTGTATTACATCCCGGGTATCGTCGCTCAAGCAAAAAGACCTGTCACTCAGCTAAATCCCTCTTCATGTTTCATTCATTGCCCGTTCCTCATCACCATACTAACTTCGTTGTTTCCCCCCAAACCTTGTCATTCCCGCAAAACCTTCCCCAGGTTTTCTTGTTTAGTTTGGTGACTTCGCTCCTCCGTGCTGATGCACTTTGTTTCGGAAGTCACCCCCTCACCCCCCCCCCCCCCCTTCCATCTCTGGCCTTCCACGCTCACGCTAATCGCATGAGGTCCGTGCGCGTTATTCAATTTGCATGTTTATCCAAGCTGCGCCGTGCTAGACTTTTTTTCTCTCTCTCCCTCTCTCTCTCTCTCTTTAACCGCGGCGATACGCAAGCCAAAGTAGCGGACACAAAAGAACAGGACTTGTGTATTGATTATAGTGACTGAACATCAAATTAGGGGCAGGAGTGTCAGAGCGCCGGTGACTGGACAAGGACAGAGTGAGAAGCCTCGAGTAATTACGGAGCTTCTTGCCGGCCATTAAACGCACAGACTTTGTGAGCCTGTCAGGCAGTAAGCCAAGTTGTCATTCTTTCTTATATTCTTGTAATAGCACCCTCTTGTCACCACAAAAGAAGATTCAACAACAGGGACGACTAGCGGGATAATCATTACATGTATTAATAATAATAATAATAATAATAACCGTATTTATATAGCGCCTTTTCCAAAGGATACAAAGCGCTGGGGGAGAATGCAACCAAAGACCGGTAAATGAAGTATATGAACATATGAGACCAATTATGAAGCACCTTTTTGCTAGGTGCTGCGGCGCATAATTGCTGCCACTGCCAGAAACACCGGGGCAAACCCGTTCTCTTAGCGACAAGTGTATACTGGGGTCTTTAACGTGCATTACACAACACACAGGACCTACGGCTTTACGTCCCATCCGAAGGACGAAGCAATAATGGTAAAGTGCCTTGCTCAAGAGCACAAGCACCATGTTCCCACGGTCAGGATTGTTGTTCTCAAACTTAAATTCCAATTTTTTTTTTTATTTTTTTTTTTAATTCTTTAAATGTACTACCAAATGGAAATCTGACAATAGAACAATCCGAGCCTGCTGTCAATTCTATCACGAAGGCCCCCTTCAATGGCAACAGCATTGTGCTAGCTATTGTTCAGATAATCCATCATGGGACAGTTGCTTTGCACAATAGCTTGCACAGTGCTTTCGCAATTGAAGGGGGCCTCGTGTACAATTATCACGTGACAGGATTCGTCTACATAAGATTGTATTTTCCAAAGGTTTTAGAGTGATCAAAGAAATTCCGGCACAAGTGGGAATTGAACCTTAAACCTCTAGATTTACCTGTACCAACTGACCAGGGGGGTCCCCCCCCCCAAAAAAAAACAGCTGTCAAAAAAAACCTTTTTTACATAAAAATTCCTACAAAATAATACGAACCCCCCCCCCCTGCTCTGACACCGCCCCCCAACCCCCCCAAAATGATACTGGTATAATGTCCGCCTGTTCAAAGTACGGACAGAGGCAGCTTAGATAGGGGGTATTTGTACACCATTCTGTAATCTAGTGTTAATAATCGTTGAATTTGAGCAATAAATTAATAAACAATAAAACAGTTTAATTAAACAGAATATCATTAAAGGTATCCTAAAGTAAACAAAGCAAGACTGACAGACAAAAATTGAACAAAAAATACAAAATGAAATTACTTTCCTACCAAACTACATGGATAATTTTTAGGGCAATACCATCGACAAACAAGTTGTTTTCTTGACCTAATTAGCGACACTGTCAGCATTTTTATCATATATCCAGGCCCAAATAAAAAAACCTTTGCATTTCAGATAGCCAGGTGTGTGCAATTTGGTACATATGATACATGTACTTCCGACTTCTTTTAATTAGACAGTCCACCCCTAACTTGTCACTAATGTTCATGTTTTAGTCAGAAGCAGGCTAATTTAAAAAGTGTTTCCTTTTTAATTAACTGATAATACTTCCCTGGCTACATCATTGCAAGAAAAAACAATGTAGAAACTGCATTTGTGCAAGTGGTCAACAGAGGGCGCCACAACAGATTAACAGTGACACAAAAGCATGGAAAGATAGTGGAGAGGCCTGCGTCCAGCATTGGATCGAATTAGGCTAATGATGATGATGATTCTTTGGAGATAATTCTTTGAAAATTGAAATTGGCACTTTCCCTCCCTAGTTCTTGATAAAACCCAGTGAGAATAGATCCACAAGGTAAATGTAGGTGATATATCAACACAGACACAGGCATCAATAACTGGATGAGTTTCAATATGAAAAAAAAAAATTACACGAATGACTTTATCTAATTATCCCACTGACTGCATTTATAGACCCAAGACTGTTCTTGCAACCCTAACTCCCAGGCCCTTTTCGCTAGGAACCATCCAAAATCCTCCAAAAGTTTCCACAAGTGTTCAAATGAAGGATACCCACTGCCTCAATCCTTCAAAATCCTACGACAGTCCTGCCTCTAAAAAATGCATTCATCCTCCAAAATCCTCCTCTGCTTCAAACACCATTCATCCTCAATCCTCCAAAATTAGCCTGTACTGAATGTGCATTCATCCTCAATCCTCCACAATCCTCTAAAATTGTATGTTGCATTCGTCCTCAATCCTCCAAAATCCTCCACAATCCGCCAAAACTGCCCGGAGGACTTTGGAGGATTGAGGAGGGTTTCAAGGTACAAAAAAACAACTGTTGACTGCTATTTGGGGAGCAGTGTTGGAGTCAAGTCCATCACAAGTCCATCACAAGTCCATCACAAGCCCATCACAAGTCCATCACAAGTCTATCACAAGTCCATCACAAGTCCATCACAAGTCCATCACAAGTCTATCACAAGTCGTCCACAAGTCCATCACAAGTCCATTAGAAGTCCTTCACAAGTCCATCACAAGTCCTTCACAAGTCCATCACAAGTCCATCACAAGTCCATCACAAGTCCTTCACAAGTCCTTCACAAGTCCATCACAAGTCCTTCACAAGTCCATCACAAGTCCATCACAAGTCCTTCACTAGTCCTTCACTAGTCCATCACAAGTCCATCACAAGTCCATCCCAAGTCCATCACAAGTCCATCACAAGTCCATCACAGAGTCCATCACAAGTCCATCACAAGTCCATCACAAGTCCATCACAAGTCCATCACAAGTCCATCACAAGTCCATCACAAGTCCATCACAAGTCCATCACAAGTCCATCACAAGTCCATCACAAGTCCTTCACAAGTCCTTCACAAGTCCATCACAAGTCCTTCACAAGTCCATCACAAGTCCATCACAAGTCCTTCACTAGTCCTTCACAAGTCCATCACAAGTCCATCACAAGTCCATCCCAAGTCCATCACAAGTCCTTCACAAGTCCATCACAAGTCCATCACAAGTCCATCACAAGTCCATCACAAGTCCATCACAGAGTCCATCACAAGTCCATCACAAGTCCATCACAAGTCCATCACAAGTCCATCACAAGTCCATCACAAGTCCATCACAAGTCCATCACAAGTCCATCACAAGTCTTCCAGTCTCAAGTCAAGTCACAAGCTATAGATCATTATCATGTTACGGCCATCTTGATTTTTTCCCCATTCAAATCAATGTAATCGAAGCGAGGCTGGAAGGAAAAATAGTCTGGTTCCATTTTGCACAACAAACATTATCATTCAGCACTGTTAATGGATACAGGGAACATGACTGAAATGGTGGCAGCATGATAAAGGTCTATTCAAATGAAATGTGACACAGGCATTCCTTTGTCATCTCCTGTTACTTGTGACTGGACAGTTGACACGCTGTCTGGACTTGCAACTGGATTTGTGATTTTCTTGTGACCCGACTTGTGATGGACTTTACTCCAACACTGTTGTGGACTTGTGGTATGGTCCATGGCGTCGTTATCTCCCCTTACCCCCTTCCCTTATTCCCCCAGACCACAGTAGACCACAGCTAAGCAGACCACAGTTTTACGAAGACATTACAGATACCGAACTTCTGAATAATTCTTAAAATCTAAAAACTAACCTGTGTTGCGATGTAATAATGATGACCGTTGTCCTGACCAATCAGAGCCTTGAAGCAGTCGGCAGCGGCAATCGGCACGTCTCGATGACGGCAGTCCAGCATCTTGTAACGTCTTAAGATGTTGGCCGCACCGTAGAGTTCCTTGCCTAGGGACTCGGTCTCAGTAATGGCGCATCTGGTTGACAGGAGCTGTTGCCAAGACATAAATTGAAATATATTTTATATCAGCTAGTCAGCTACCTCAAAAAAAAAAATGTATCAACGCCTACGTGTACATGATTTTCTTAAAATTTTGATGAGCTCATTAAAGGGAATATACAACATTTGCAAACATCGAAAAATAAAACTACCAAGTTTTTGCGAAATACCTTAATAGGATGTTGGTAAATGACAGTCTAAAGCATCCTGTAAAATTATGGCATCTGGTATACTGTCATTTTCAAGAAAAGTGGTATTTTTGTATCAATTTCCAACGCTGATCGGCCGATCAGCGTTGGAAACAACTGGCTTTTTTTCAAATACTGGCCCCAATTGACCATTGCACTTGTTTGCAATCGATTACAAACCTATGAACGGGTACGAGCCAGCTAGACTGGTTCCCTGACCTTACAATTCCCTAATGTATGTTAACTGCTCTGTTTCTTCTTTTATGGAGTCAGGGAACCAGACTACAGGAAAATGATCGTTTTTCTTGGTTTTTATAGCATTTTCGAACCCAAAACTTCCAAAAAGTCAGTGTAACTATATTTGCTTTATATTTCCAACCCCCCAATTCCATCCATTTCTGAAAATTACAGCAAAAGCAAATGATGTATATTCCCTTTAAGTTAATTAACCCTAACCATCCCAAATCCTCCAAAATCCTCTTGGCAAAATTGAGGAATTTGCAGGATTGAGGCTGTATGGCAAAAGTGTGTGGCTAATTTCGGAGGACGCACCGTGTCAAGGTCTTGGGCCGGACATTGTGTTGTTTATGCTCACCCGTGCATACATTTAGTCCTTGATTATACTTGAAATCCTCCGCACTGCTCCAGGATGTCACTGCCTCTGCCTCATCATATCGACAGTGCTTGCCGGAGGACTTTTCAGGAAATTTAGCAAGTATTGCTCTTTTGCTCGCAAAAGCATGCAGGAGGAAGTCCAATATTTGAGACACATTTATGAAGCTATCCGCAACGGTACTCACCTGCACTTCCCCATCTAGGTACTTGGGCAACTGTTCCTTGATGTTGGTCTGATGTCGCAGCGCAACGCACGTGAAGGTTCCGTCCACGAGGACTAGGTGTGGTTCCCGGAAGTTGAAGACATTTTTGTAGAATCCCAGATGTCGACGGGCATGCTTGTATCGCTTGATCTTCATGACTGACCCTTAGCCCTGAAAGAAAATTTAGGCCAAAATCGAATGAGATGTCCTCCAAGATATTTTTTTTTTTAAACAAACAAAAGTTGGAAAAAATGTTGCAACCCGACGCCACTTCAAAAATGATAAGACATGAATCTGGGACTGAGAAACATTTCAAATTTTGTTAGGAAATACTCAGAAAAATGTCTTGACCATCCATAGACTTTGAACACAACCGCTGAAGTGGCGTCAGGTTACAACATTTTTTCCAAAAAGTTTATCAACTACTGTCCTGTAGTACTAGCATCCTCCATGGTACTAGTGAAAGCGTTTCGGAATGTCGTATGAGGGCGCACTTCATGCATGTATGATGTACTTGCCAGACTAGCTGGAGTTACCCAGCCCTGAGTTTTATCATTGGGTTGTCTATAAGACAACCCAATGATAAAACTCAGGGCTGGGTAACTCCAGCTATTGCCAGACGATGGTACAACGCAGAAACTAAATTTAAACCCTTTTGTAGTGCCGACGAAATATAAACACTAGTATTAAAATGACACTGGCTAGAAGAATCAGGTAAATGGTTCTGCGTAATTTAAGTTAACCATCGTTTTAACAATAAAAGACTTCAATGAAAAACAAACCGCATGAGTTCATCTGTTTACGCAGCAGCACACGTGCGTGTTGGAAAATAATATAGGGCACTTTCAAACTATTTGAAGATATTATTTTTATGGCAAAATTTAAAACTATTCTAAACTTATGTACATTAATGATAAATTAAAAGAATTAAATATTTTTTTTTTCGTTGAGTTGAGGGTAAAATCTTAATAAATATAGCTTGTAAAATGATATGATTATTGTTCATTCTGTTATTAATTTTACCAAGATGGCCACCGCAAGCACATTGGACGCGCCAGTCGCAAGAGTACAAATTGATGGATTGGTGAGAGAATCGGTGCCAGTTGTTGCGTTAAAATGTCCATAGCGTTTGGTTTATGTATTTTCTCTCATATGTGTGATTTATTTTGAAGGTTCGTGGTCATCAAGGGAATAAATTAGGCCCATATGGGGCGAAGTGCCGGTAATTTTTTCTTGCAGAAAGTGAATTGTACCTAGACGTATTGCACGTACTGCCTATTGGTAACTAGACCCGTGAACGTGGCTTGTAAACTACGCCACGTTCTTATGTCATTTCGAACCTGGCGAACGTGTCCCTCTGACTCCCTCCGTTACACACACTGGACGTTATTTTGCCCATGCAATAAGTACTCACATATGAAGCTGTCTTGAATTCTATTTGTACGTCAAAACTTGCATTTGACGAAAATTGAGGAAAATTCTGGCCCCGGTTCATGAAGTCCGTCCGCTACTGCTACTAGCTAGCTGCCATTTTCTCCCAACTGACGCATGCCCATTGCGTTTGATTTTCGTGTGATTCGACGGCTGTTTACTGTCGCAGCTAAAACAGACATCGTTTTAGACAAGTTTCAAGTCCTTTCCTCTCTCACCGCACCGCACGCGGTCGCACGTGCGCCCGCGTGTGTGTGCACACACACGTACTGTACACGAGATGAGCCGAGCAGCCAATCGTCTGCGGGGTTTTTTTTTTCGGGGTTGCGACATGAAACAGCCGTCAATCTGTCCAAACGACTCAGACGCGTCCGGGGTTATTTGTCAGGGTCAGGTTAAAATCTAATTTCTACACGTTCGTATGGGTCTTTACTGATGGGCAAATTTCGTCGAAATTACACAGCCGAAACAATCGGACGGGCAAATTTAGATTTCTAGGTGAGTACTCAACACCCATACGGAATTATGTATGTCGGATCGATTTCGCCAGGTTCGAAATGAAACAAGAACGTGGCGTTGTATACAACGCCACGTTCACGGGTCTAATTGGTAACCTGACTATTTTGTCATAGCATACTAATTATGCCGGCGACTGTGGCGATCGTGTAGTGTGGGGCCCCTGTTTTGTTTTGATTAAATTAGAGTCAAAAATGTTTTTTATTGCTCAAAAATCACCTTTACAATCAAAAGCAGAATTTTCTCAATTCTAATGACACCCGTTTTGCAACTTTGAACAGTTCCTTGGGGTAGAAATCACAATTTTCCTGCGCGGTTTGTGCCTTGTGATTCAGTGTGCCGTGCGTGTTCATGGTACATCGCGCGGTGATCGCCATCTTTTATTTTCGGGTTGCGTGTTGTCGCCGCGCAGTCATCGTCATTTTACCCCCAAATTTCCGTCAAAAAATCAAAACCCTGCCCTCTGACATACCTGTTTATTGAGAATGTCGCCAACTACTGAACTAGTTTGGTAGGTCTAATCATTTTAAAGTGGATTTTGTTCCCTTATTTTGTTCCCTAGTGCCTACACTACATGATCCCTGAGACTGTCTGTACAGTCTGATTCACTTTCAGTGTTTGTCAGTGATAAAAAAAAAAAAACGTAGTGGCTATCGTTATGGCAGCCGTAACGCGATTTTCAACTGCTATAGTTGTAGGGTCAGTCATTGGTAAAACCTTACCATGCTCACCTCTCTGCAAAGACACGAAGGCGATTTGTGGCTGCAGCGACTAGTTATTGCGCCCTCATGTGTCCGATTAATCTGATGTGTCACTGAATGACTGAAATTACATCACATTACAGTTTTACACTGTCAATAAAAAAAGCAGTGTTTTAAGGAATTCGTTACTTTTCTTCCCCCAGGTTGTGTTGAAGATCATCAAGCATTGCGAAGAGGAAGGAGGCAGTGCTGGGGAGTTGGTTCAAGGAGTTCTCCTTGGTCTCGTCCAGGATGACACGCTAGAGATCACAAATTGCTTCCCGTTCCCTAAACATGCGGACGAGGAAAACTTTGACGATGGTAAGGAAACAAGACAAGGCAAGCCTGGTAATGCTGGGCCCAGTGTGCACAAACAAATTCTGTTCACTTTCTATTCACTGGAAGTCTCTTCTTGCATCTGGTCTAGGCCGGATTTAGCCCATTCATTGGCATTGCTGGGTCGTCCTATATGATAGCACTGCCCGGCTCTCTTCCAGTTTAGTTCACAAGTGACAGGCAGTCAGTCAGTCCATCAGTTACAAAGAGGACACTAGACTGGCCCTCTGGGACCAGCACAAACCTGCCCCAAGAACTATGGTTGCCCTCCAGATATCTGTAGAGAGAAGCCTGTTACTCTATATGGGCTCCGTGCACCAACAAAAGAGGGCGCGTTTTGACCACTTTTGAGAGCCCTTGGACGGGACACAGCGTGAGCGTACTGTACTGGTTCGCGCGCCAAGTACGCACGACTTCCCGAATGTGCCAAAACTTTCAGCCACCGCGTCTTCGCGTGAGCGTCAGGCGTCGTTGGCGCGCGTATAAGTTCGAATTTAACCTGCGATGGTCTCCCGGACTAATCCCTGCCCCCAATAACTTTGGATCATTCGAAATACGCAGTGGATGGACCGGGAGCCAGACTAGGTCACCCCCAACTCTCCTTTTGTGGCCGTTGAAGGAGTACTTGTGCACGGAGCCCATGGGGTTGCACAAGACTTGCTAATGAGCATTTTGGCACAAACACCAAAGTAGGCCTTTATACAATACCCTTAGAAATGGCCAAACAGAGATTTAAAGTGTGAAGCAGATTCGTTTCAAAATGAGCATTTCAAAAACATAATACATGAATGATCTTTAAGCTTGAATTTCTCGGTGTCAGTCTTGTACCAGATGGAGATGATGAGAAACCTGCGTCATGTCAACATCGATCATCTCCACGTCGGCTGGTACCAGTCTACGCTGTACGGCACGTTCCTCAACAAGGCCCTGCTGGACTCGCAGTTCAACTATCAGCACTCCATCGAGGAATCTGTCGTTCTCATATACGGTAAGGTTCACTCGCAATTACTGTTAGCAGAGTTTCACAAAAACTTGAAAACTGAGAACATCCTGTTCTAATCGAAAACAGAACTGGAGCCTGCTTTGAAATGATGGCCTACCGGACCGCACTGATTCCTTTACAGCTAAGTTGGAATAAATCGGTTACAAGTTTATCACAAGTCAATTACAATTCAAATCATGAGTTGGGTCACAAGTTACAAGGGATAAACAGTGATCTAGGAATGCCTTTGTCTCAGTTTATTTCAATAGATCGTCACTTGACTTGAGACTGGGGCCCAATTCCTTGGCTCTACTTACCGTTAGCGAAAAATCCCTGCTTACTAAAGCAGTAATTTCAGTGTTTACGGTAAGCGTATTTCACGGGTTGGCGATGAATTTTGGCTTGTGATGCGTACCTCCCGTAACTAAGCATTCTGTGCTTACAGGGTTAGCCTAATGATTCTGCTAGCGCGGTTAGCACAAAATGGTGATCATTCATAAGCGCGGAATTCTGTGGTTAGCAAAGCCATGCAATTGGGCCCTGGTGACTTGTGATGACGTGATAACAACTCTTTGAATATGTATTTTGAAGAATAATGAAAAATCCTGGTAGGATGTTGTTTCACTTGTTACTATTTTACAATTTAGTTTCCAAAGATTAGCTGCATAATTTTACTATTAATTATGCATTGAACAGATCCACTGAAGACATCGAAGTCCACACTCAGCCTGAAGGCCTACAGATTAACCCGGAATGCCATGGAGTCTTACAAAGACTATGACTTCTCCACAGATGCGTAAGTTCCCTTGTAAAATCCTGACACTGATTGTTAGCTCTCCCAGATCGTTAAATAACCCCACGAGATTTCAGGATTGCGAAGGTAGAGCCCTCTTACTGTTCCATGGGGCTCAAACCCCCTCGAAAATTCAAGTACGAAAGATGACCCTTTACGCTCTTGCACAGCGATGGAATTCGGAGGATGAGGGGGGGGGGGGTGGTCATCTTGCAAAGTTAATGCACACTTGTGAAGGGTACTTCACTTGTTCTAGGCAAGAAATTTGTTTGAGACTTTTGTCTGAAATCAGACCTTTTGAATCTGAGCAAAAAACATTATTAACATGGAAAAGATCTTTCATCTAATTTTTAGTTGTTTTTTTTTAAATTGACAATCTCATCCTTATTGTTCACATATACAGCGTTCACCATTTGTACAGTCTACGTATACCAACGTTCATAAGACAAGATGGCGTCCAGTCACTCCAATGGTCCTTCAATTCAGATGCTTTACCTCAGTTCCCCTCTAGAGGGGGTACTTATGGACAAAGTCCATGTAGATATTCTGTTTTCTGATAACTGAATTGACCAAAATGTATTAAAAGGCTTGCTTTATTCTCTTTTATACAACAGCCTCAAAAAGACAGGTTTATGCTACGAGAACATCTTCGAAGAGATTCCCATCGTCGTCCATAACTCGTACCTCATCAACACGCTGATCTGCGAGCTGAAAGAAGTGACGCCCCCTACTGGCGACAACTTCTTGACTTTATCGTCGGGGTAAGTCAACCCCCCCCCCCCAAAAAAAAATCAAGGACTCAAGGAAAACATGAATTGTTTTTACTCTGTGTATGTCTGTTGAAGGAGTTGTTAAAGATAATATACAACATTTGCAAACATCAAAAAAGAAAACTACCAAATTATTATGAATACCGTACTGGACTATAAGTGCATAACAGTCTCAAGCATCCTATGAAATCGTTGCACCTGGTGTGCTGTCATTTTTAAGAAAACTGACATTTTTGTATCAATTTCCAACGATGATTGGTCGACAATCGTTGGGAGAAAAAGGAATTTTTTTCAAATACTGACCCCAATGTACCAAACTTAGTCCACATTTTGTTTGTATTTGGTTACACATCAGTGAACAGGTGCAAGCCAGCTAGTCTGGTTCCCTGAACTGACAATTCCCCAACGTCCATAAACTCCTTTGTTTCGTCTGAAGTTGGGTCAGGGAACCAGACTATAAGAACTGCATTTTTTTCTTGGTTTTTCCAGCATCTGTGAAAACAAAACTTTAAACAGGTCAGTTTAACAGTATTTGCTATAAAATACTAACCCCCCAAATCCATCGAATTCTGAAAATTACAGCCAAAGCACATCTTGTATATTACCTAATGTTGCTGTTATAATGTCAATTTCTAGAAATATGTTGGAGAAGAATTTGGAGTTGCTGATGGAGCACGTAGACGATCTAGCCCAAGAAACCAACAAGTACATGAACTACCAGAGGGCCATGACGAAGCTACAACAAAACAAACAGCAACATACATACAAAAGAGTAAGTTACTAAAAAAAAGGTATATCGTAATTTCATCGGTCCTATTTGTCTGCTATTCATAAGACGCAAATGCCATCTTGTGAAACCTTTGGTTGTAGTAGCAGATTCGAACCAGCATTTGGCTAGCGACAGTGTTGTCGTCGAGTCACCAACATCGAGTATGAGTCTCGAGTCACAAGCCTCGAGTCTGAGTTCGAGTCTCGAGTCACAAGCCTCGAGTTGGAGTCCGAGTCTCAAGTCACAAGTAAATTAAGTAAATCCCAGTGTATATAGTTTACCTTGTGTGTGTACATGTTGTTTAGACCCAAAATGTGTTTTCCTGGTGCTGGTCGTGCTGGCACTAAGGCGTGCATGAGTTTGTGAGGAACAAGGCCGAGAGTCTTGTTGGTCCCCAGGAACCTCTTCTTGCCACCATGAAGCGACGGAAGCTGAAGTGGTTCGGCCACGTCACGCGGCATAACAGTCTTTGCAAGACTATCATGCAGGGAGGACGAAGGCGAGGACGACAACAGAAGAGCTGGGTAGACAATGTCAAGGAATGGACAAACATGAACATGTCAGAACTCCTAGTGCAGGCCGCTGACAGAACAGCATGGAGGAGGATTTTAGCTTCTTCTGCCCTCGGGTCCCCCCAACGACGGCAACAGTCAAGGGAAACATGACATGAGTGGCCCTCTGGATACGATTTTCCGCGTCACCCTGTTTTGTCTATGGAGTAGAAAAGGGTTTTTCTTTTGATGAAAATACGTGACTCGAGTCACGAGACACCAAGCTCAAGTCCGAGTCACCAAGCTCGAGTCCGAGGAGTCATGGTCGAGTCATTTTCCATTTTTCATTCGAGTCACGAAAAATGTTACTCGAGTCCGACTCGAGTCCGAGTCCTAAAACTTTGGCTAGCGGGCTACTGCTAAAGTCGAATCTTGGCTTTAACGACATCCTCTTTGCGAGTCGGTAATTCTTACCTTTCCTCCATCTTGTCTCCCCGCAGCAACAAGAGAACGCAGCCCGGCAGCAACGTGGCGAGCCCCCGCTTCCCGAGGAGGACCTGTCCAAGCTCTTCAAGGCTCCCCAGCCCCCGCTGCGTCTGGAGAGCATGCTGATGGCCGGCCAGATGAAGAACTACGCCGCCGAGATCAACCGGATGGCCGCGTCCAGCTTCGGCAAGCTGTTCATGGCCGACGCGCTGCAGACTCCGGGTCCTAGTAGTACATAACGGGGGAACGGGGGGAAATTGACATAGTTGTAATCGAGTCAGTCACAAGTCATCACCGGAAAGAACATTTCCATATGTCTGCGTTGCAGTTTGGGTCTTGTTTGCATTGCCCCCCTGTGTTTCTTACCTCGATGTGGAAACTAGGCTTAAAGAAATAGTCCATCATTTGTAATTTGTGCATTTTGTTCGTTTGAAACAAAAAAAGTGCTCAAAATCTAAAGAAGGGTACTGAACAACTAACTGAAGTTTCAGCTCAGCTTCAGCTGCATATTCCGAGAAGCATTCTAAGATCAGATTTCATATCAAAAGTTGCTGAATCATGTTTTGAATTGCGCCTGAATTCAGCATCCGAGACACGTTCTCACTGAGCCGAATGCAGCTACGCGATGTCGCTCACTGATTCGACGAATTATAGCAACCGCGTGTGCGTAGTGCCAACGCTTGCACGCGCTTTGCCGAATAAAAAAAACGAACTACTTACGGAAATTTCCTACGGTGCGTCTTAAGACGCACCATTGGAAATGCATTCTTTCGCTGATTTCTTCAAAATGACAACTTGCCAGAAAGAATAATTTCACAGGGAGTTTAGTTCCCTTACTATCTTTCAACCAAGCACGTTTTCAACAATAATTACGTCAGTTACTTTTTGGATAGCTGCAAATGATGGACTATAGCTTTAACAAGTTTTCTTCAGACTCATACTTACAATTGTAGAAGTTCAGAAGATGTTGCAACGGTGGGTTTGAAAGCTGAAGCACTTCTTGTAAGGTCGCACTTGTTATTGCTTTCAGATAGAATTTAGTATCCAGACGCCACTTCAGCGGTTGTGTACAAAGTCCATGGAGAGTCAAGAACATTTTCAAAGTACTTCCTAACAAAATTCCAAATGTTTCTCAGTCCCAGATTCATGTCTTTTTTCAAATTTTGTTTGCCATGACTGGCCTTCATTGAAACGAAACATATATGATGGAAAAAAGTGGCTTTAGGATGGATGCAACATTCTTTGTACGTGCTAACTTATCATCAAACTCATACTTACAATTTTGGAAGTTAAGAAGATTTTGAAATTTTGGGTTTGAAAGCTGAAGTACTTCATGTAGTGTAATGCCACACTTATTGTTTTCACCTGCAAAATAAATCAGATGAACCAAAAATGGAATAAAATGTAAAACTTCACAGCAGTGTTTCTAGTGTTTATTCTTAAAATATAGCAGCCTGCACTTGACTTACTTGGATGCCTGACCTTTTCAATAAATATAAAATACTGCATGTATGCGAGGAAATTTATGCGCAGATATTTAAATGAGTTGACCCGTGTCAGAGGTCACCAGGGGTGACCGTTTCTCAAACTTGTCCCAGTGAGAGATTTTTTAGGCTAATTTCAGATTATATTGAACCCCAACTGTCGATAATATTCCCACCACTGCTTTTTGTGAATATCGCCCTCTCTTTTAATTTAAAGGCGCGAATACACACACTTGCTTTCATTGTTTTTGAATTCAAGCAACATTTTTCTTTAATTTAAATAACAAAAACCAGCAGCCAGCATATTGCTAAAGATCAGGCACTATGCTCAAACGTGCCTAATAATCGGTCTACTTTAATTTTCTTTCAATAGAGGGCGCGCCACATAAAAAGTGGTCAGTCACCGCCACAGACAAAGCATCAACACGTACGGCGGGTACAGATGACTTACTGTTTAACAAAAAGCACACTCAGTATTTTGGGGGCAATTACTCACGAAATATCAGATGTATTAAACTGAAATTTCGTTCAATGATTTGTCATGATGTTTAACATTAGGAGACTCAATTTCGTGAGAAACAGTCAAACCGTACCGGCAATCAAAATAATATTACTGAAAGAATACAATACGACTGAAAGTCAACGTTCATGGGAAAATAACGCACTCGTTGTTTGGGCAATAACCTGAGAAATACCCGATGTATTTAAGTTGAAATTTCGTCCAGAAATCGGTCTTGATGTGCAACATTAGGAGATTCAATTTCGTCAGAAACCGTCAAACATTTAAAATAGAATGACCGAAACAATATCGTGTTTAAACGCGAAAAAAAAAACAATGCGGATCATGAAAGTCGATCTTAACCTGTTTTACTGAATTGGAAGTTTGCTTTTTTCACTATTTTGCAAGGGCATTCTTACCTGCAAACTTTTGTCAACTACAAGTCTCTGTTCAAAAAGGGCGCTAAACAAAGTAGTAATTAAGACAACGTGCGTAACGCGAACGGTCTACTTTAATTTTCTTTCCGAAAAGAGGGCGCGCTACATAAATAGCGGTGATGGGTCACAGTCATGGTCACAGTGTTTATGTAGCACGCCCTCTTTTTTAAAGAAATTGATGACGATAAAAATACGGATTGTCCTTACACTGCAATTTCCTTAAATTATATTAAATTCATTCTTTCACGGTTTCTGACAATTTTCGAGATTCTTGTGTCAAATATCATGGCAAAATATTGGACAAGATATCATTGCAATGCAATGTGTTTATCTTGAGTTTTCTTCGTTACAATAACTTTGTTTACATCGCGGATGGACAGAAGTCGGCGCGCGGTGGTCCGACGGTGGCTTGCGGATTGGGGACTCCCACGGTTTTCACCCATAATATATTTATAATTATTATAACATAACACGGTCCGCCTGTCTGTATCAATCGGATACAAACATCTGACGGGCCTGGACCCCATCCCCCGCCCCCCCCCCCCGCAAAAATTCCTGGATCCGCCCCTGAACGCACCTGATTCCTTTTTTTTTGAAATAGCCTAATGTTGTTCCGATTGTTGCGTAACGATGAGTATGTTTAGCACACGCGTATAAACCTACGATTAACGAGGTAGCCGTATGGAATTTTCCAAACAAATGACAACAGTTTGCTCATTATTGCCCGAAATGTCGACTTGATTTCGTCCATGGAGCCAAAACAGATGCACACAGCAATGTTCCACGTTTCTCTGCCTATTTAAGACAAATAGTTTTTGACAAGAATTCCAAGGAAGCCGAATGGCCTAGTGGTTAGATTCGTCGCCACGAATCGCGCAGGGCACGGGTTCGATTCCCGTCGGTGTCTTTTTGGTTTTAATCGCACTCGTTCAGTCATTATATTAGATGTTTAATTTCCCGTCGTAAAACACCAACAGTACCTTAGCTTAATCGGTAAGCACTGCTGCTGGTACTGTCCGCGAGTTCCAGGTTGGCGCCTTCGTACAGGTTCAGGGCATGTGGTCCACTCGGGGGATCAGGGCTTAGGGTGCCGCCCTGTTCCTCCCTTAGCTCTTTGCTTTTACATGGTGCCTGGCCCTCCGGGGTTACATGGATGGATAGGGAAGGAAGTGTGTATTGGTCGGGGATGCCGAGACCCCGGAAGAGAACTAAGGGATCGGCTGGGGCATTGTTATGGCTCAGACCGATCCCTGAAAGCTTGACTAGCACATAACTTTTTGATTTTTTTTATCCTCTATATTTTATTGTACATCTGCCCGGCAGGTCTATACGGTGATATTAAAAAAGAGACAAAGGTCCATATCATAAATCAATGAATATTTGATAATTGACTATAATCAAAATTAAGTTTCTTTCGATCAATATGACTGCCATTACAGGGGTTTTCCTTAACTTTTTCCTTTACTGGCCGGCCGGGCCAGTAAACCAGAGTTTTCACTGGCCCGCAACCTTTTTCACTAGCCCACATGTTTTATAATAGTAACTTTCAATCAAATCACCATAAGCATTTTTGATAACATTTTTGATAATAAATTATGCAATATGAATACAATCGGCAATTATCTTAATCATGTACATAATATTGCATGTAGTTCCTTTTTAAGTGATGTCAATGTTTCTTTAATCGTCCATGCTTTAACATAGAGCAAGGCTTTAATTAACAAGAATCAAATAGGGGGAGAAGTTATAATCAAAATTTACGCAGTGTGCTTCGTTCCGAACTTAAGGCTTTAGGTGTTCTATTTCCGACATGTTTTGATAAAACACGAACTAAAAAAGCGTTATCTTGAGGAACAAGAAAACATTGCACACAGTCGTGGTATTAATGGGAGTTTACCAAGTTAGTAACTGAACTGTTTTAACTTGTTTGAAAATGAGTGAGAAGGCCAGTATTTTCAAAAAAACATCTCTCGCGCGCGCCATGCATTTCTAGCGAAGAATGGTGCAATCAGCGTGCCTAGCCAAGAAGCGCTGCGGGCGGGCGACCCACGAACTTACGCTGGTCACGTCAATCCATAACGTTTTCCGGAGCACGGTCCACTTTACATTCACTAGTCTTTACATTCAAAATAGGCCCCTCGAATCTCATATTGTCCTCATCTTTTCGGTACATTCGTTTGATAGTGTTCAAGAAATCATCCCAAGAATCCGTTCGGGCACAAGTTTTGGCAGTGAAACTGTCATGAAAGTTTTCTCCTCACCACGTTGTATGATACGAATACGATGTTAACGTACGTACGTACGTTCGTACCGTGTGGACTGACTGCAGACGAAGTAAATCACGTGCGCTGCATGTGTGCACAATGTGTAATGGCAAATACACGTTGATTCGCCTCATGTTCGTCGTTGGGATTTAATGCACAGCGCACTGCGAATATACAATATACATGGAGTGATACGAATTCGAACTACCGATGTTTTTATTTCGGTCGGCGTGGCAAAAGTATTCATGTGTTGTATCACCCTTAACTTTTCATTTTGATTGATTGAAAAATACTGTAGGGAAAACTTCGTTATTTTATTTTTTTTTAACAGTTTTCTGACTCGCCCGTCGGACTACTGAGAGGAGGGTTTTGACTCGCCCGCCGCTGTTTTCACTCGCATTTGGCGAGCGGGCGACCGCTAAGGAAAATCCCTGATTAATAATGTGTTTATCTTGAGTTTTCGTCGTTACAATAACTTTGTTTACATCGCGAATAGACAGAATTCGGCGTGCGGTGAGCGGTGTTTATGTACCGCGCCCTCTTTTGGAAGAAATTGATAAAATAAGGAGTGTTCCTATTTCCCGAAAAACGAGTGTAGCCTATTCTTTTTGTTCAAAAGTGAGCCGGGCATCCGTGTTGATTTTTTGTCAGTGGTTGTTACCGCTATTTATGTGGCGCGCCCTCTATTGAAAGAAAATTAAATTAGATCGTTAGGCACGTTGTCTCCGTACAATGCGAGACCACGACTGTTTAGCATGATTTCAAAAGAAACCGTCAAACACTAGAAATAATATGACAGAAACAAGAAAAGTGTTTTTAAACGCGAAAAACACAATTCGACTATAATTTGTGACCGTATTCACCCCGAGAAACAGTCATGCTAGAATTTTATCTTGGTTTTCCGCAAGAAAAAACGATGAGAAATCACAAGTTTGGAGATGGCCAAAATAGAATTTTACTTACGATCTTTAACATCCGACAGCTGCAGACCTAGGTCTCCTTGTTCGTGCGTGTTTGTTTTCACATCGCGTATAACGAAGGCTGAAAGGTTGTAGATTTAGTCGGGCTGGCTTGAATACAGTCCAAACTGTTCTTGGGTATGACATACCCAGGACAGTCCCAACAATAGCTGGGGCAACCTCCATAGTTGGGACGTAACATACATCGCCAGCAGTCTAAGCATAAGAGTATAAATAGCGCCCTCATGATTTAAGTTTGTTGCTTCTGCTTTTCTTAAATTCACTCGTGTCTCCCCCCCCCCCCCCCCCCCCCCCCCCCCCGGACAGCCTGCCCAACCCTTGTGCCCTGCCGGCCTGCCGTGGTGTCCCTCCTCGAAATATAAGAGAGCTCTACATCACCTTGTGAAAATATGGCCAAACTTATTAAGAGACCCCTCCAAAAAAAGGAGGGGCACTGATCCTTCCCCCCCCCCTCCCCGCATTTTGGGCCCCAACCTTTATACGCCACTAGCCTGGTTCCAAAAGCAAAAGATTTTGACTATTTCTGATGAATCGGAAGTCAGGTACCCGTCTGCAATGTCACTAGACCAAAATGGTTGGAATGCCTCCCGTTTCCGAAAATGTCCGAACTATGCCGAATGCATTTCGTCGACACTCTCGGATAGCGCCCGGGTATTTCCGGTTATAAAATAGGTTTTTATTTGCCACGCTTATTAAAAAAAAATTTTTTTAATCGGTTGATAATTAATATTCCTTGCTTGCATTTAACACATTTTCCATTTCTTAAACAACAGAGGGCGCTATTTTTGTTTATTGTTATGCGAAGCCTGGCTTTCATTTTTATAACAAACAAATGATAAAAAAATATCAGGTTAATAGCTTTTATTACAGGGGGAAGGGACGTCAAATTAAAAGAAAGCAACTCAACATCACATATCAATATTCACCCCGAACCCAACCCCTGTAAAAAAACAATAAATAAAAAATTTAATCAAATTAAAAAATAGCAGGAGTCAAAGGGAGTCGACGCAGACAAAAACTTGACACAGACCTCACGCGTAAAACTCAAATCAATTTTTATTCGTTGTGAATAAATTAAGGAAAGAACGAAACGCTTAGACTCTTTACTACTCTGAATGGCAATTATGACGGCAGATGCTTGAATGTGTCACTCAGTTACCATGGCAACAGAATAACCACATCCCATATTCATTATCAGAAATCAATCACAATAAATATTTTTTTTCTAATAAATTACTTGGAATACAAATACTTGGGGCTTTCTTCCAGAAAAATTATTAGCTACAAGAAAGACAAATTCATCAACCTTATTTGTATCTAAATGCTAAAATGTAATTCATGAATAAATTAAATCGGAATTTATTCAGCATTAAGACATATGTACATCATAAGTGGATAATGTGATATGGACATATAGGTTAATTGTAAAGAACCAAATACATTCACAAATATCTTACTTTAGATCAATTCAAAAATAAATTAACATTAAGTTAAATTTTCCATAAAATGTCAAATTCAGAGGACTTTTTTTTTTACATTTTGTGTAACCGAAACAATGATGAATATGCAAATTACACTGAATTAAGAATACAAGACAATTAATCCAGCTGAATGTGTTCACCATATCGAACATTACTTTAATGGTTGTTGTTGTTGTTGTTGTTGTTGTTGTTGTTGTTGTTGTTGTTGTTGTTGTTGTTGTTGTTGTTGTTGTTGTTGTTGTTGTTGTTGTTGTTGTTGTTGTTGTTGTTGTTGTTGTTGTTGTTGTTGTTGTTGTTGTTGTTGTTAATATATTGAATACAATTTTGCTTAATTCATTTTCTAATCTACTCGCATATGAATACACCTATGCTGATCACATGACTGCGCCTGCGTACTCGGCAGGAAGCAAGTCTAAGATGCACTACATAAGAATAGCAAGATTCCATAGCTCGGAGAAATATCAATCAATTACTATATACAAAAGTAAAACGTACTGAGAGACATGTTAAAACAGACAGGTATTATTCCTTAGCAAGTTTGTACGAGGTTGAAGTACATCCGGGGCTTCGAAGCATAATCTGCTCGCATGCACCCCAGGGATAGACCACTTCACACATTACAAACGAGCAATGAAAAATTATAAACACGAATAACGTAACACTATAACTCTAAATATCTAATGAGAATAGCACACCTTAGCGGTATATGTGAAATGTGTATACACAACGACGAAGATATGATAACTAAGTTATGATAACTAAGTTATGATAACTACGTTATGATAACTAAGTTATTCACTACAATCACAGCCGAGAAACTACACTTCATATCACTACAAATCACCCGCAGAAAAAAAAAATCACTACATTTTATCACTGACGCTACAACATCATGGAATGTATTCTTGCACAATAATATATGTGATTATCACAATTCACATAGATTAACAAAGATTTTAGTTCAATATTGCACCTTCCCGGCCTCACAACTGGTAATAATAGATTAGTATTTCATACTAACTATCATTACTAGTAATCATAATCGCTATTTACATTAGTTATGAATATCTTAAGTTAAATTCTACTCTACGGCAAAGAGCTAGCTCGAATACTCGGCTATTGTCGACTGTAATTGTTGTGTAAACGTTTAGTAAATTAGTTAACACGTCACAAAAAAACATAACGTGACGAAAACCACTCTTACCACAGTTTACGATAGTCAAGCATCCGAACTAGCTCAATACTGCGCCATAATCCCAGTTAAAGTGAAATACAAAGCACCATTCGTTTAGTACAGTGTAGATGGTGACAATCACGCAGTAGCTGCTTTGAACACAATTGTTAGCAACATGAACTACACAAGGGCTAGTACTGAATTTGTTAGCATAACACAGTGACAAAGTAATTAACTATGTATGTGGTAATAATTAATCATTGCACATTCCATGACAGGGCCATATTGTATAACATTACATAACTATTGGGGTCAGTTGAATTTTTGTTATATACTGTCGAGTTTTCAGAAATATTTGTAATTACCGGCCCAGTGTCAAGTTAATTACATTTACAGCGCATCTGACTAGTTCTTGTTTTAAAATTTTTTTGGTTGTTTGTTTATCATCCAATGAGTATGTTAAATCCAGGTTTGTGAAAGTTTTATAGTCCTGCGCCATGGCGACCTTCAACAATGGGTTTGAAGTGAAAACTCAAATCCTTATGACCACTTTTGATAGATTCATAATTTTAAAAATATCAAATTATTAAATCCAAGTATTGACAGGATAATTGCATTGTTGCTCGGCAGCTGCTGAACTGATTAATCCAAGTCTCATCATCATTACCATCGTCTTTACTACTACTATATCTGTCTCTTAACTATTCAAACTCCTCAAATAAACACCACTACTTTAACTAGTTGCTAGTAATAATATCTACTTCGGTTATAGGCAGCGTTTGAGCGGGTTAAAGTAAGTCTGACTTTTGTCGAGCAGACACACTATACACAGGCAGTTTCCGTTTTCAAATCTCTAAAAACAAAACCACTATAGTTTCTGATGAAATAATACTGTTTGTCTATGATGACGTAACACTTGTTTACAACCGATGCGCCCTCTTGAGCTCAAGGCAAGAGAAGGTTTTGTTTTGAAGTCTCCAAAAAAATTATTCTTCATGTAGTTTCATGAAAAAAACCATTGCATGACGCTGCTGTGCCTTCTGAAACTTGTCTAAATGTTGACTAGCCACTTGTTTTCTTTTTTTTTATTCAAGAGGGGCGCCCCAAGTTGAAACAAGTGTTCCATAATCTTCATGTTTTATGCTTTATTTTTTTATTTTTTTGACTAAATTCTATATTTTTTTGCGAAGCAACCCCTTCCTTTTCATTTTTTTGAATTTTTTTTTTTTGGAATTTGAATAACTACAGAACTACATCTACTTGAAATGAGTTGATTGCTCACACATGTTGAGTGCAGGGTTCGTTATAAACAAACTCACTGCCTCGTATACCCAGACATAACATTATGTACACTGTACATAACGTTCTCGTTCTAAACGAACACATAAAACAGACACGAACACGAACGAAAAACTCAGTAGGCCTATGGCCTTCGCCATAAACGAACTCTCCCGAACCGAAAGCCCACACACGTCAACACTTATTTACAATAAACACTTCTGTCTTGTACCCTTCGGTCGTGTGAGGTTTGTAAAAACAAATCTACTCAACAGAAAGATGAGTTGTCAGAGAACACGTAATTGGTATGTAAATTTATGCAAGTGTATTCATTAATTTACATTTGTAAAAAAGACAATCTTTCACGAATTAATTAAGTTTTCTAATCTACGTTCATTGATATGAGTTGTTTGTTGAACACTTTTGACTTTCACAACAAAGTTACGGTCAAAAATAATCAGATCTTACATATTAGACGAAGAAAAATCAGAGGAGCTTTTAGAAGAACAGAATGAAGTACTCATGCAAAAATGGTCTCATATTTACATAATGCTGCGTAATATTGTCATTGCGCTGGATTTAGGAAAAACATAATACAATTTGCGGGGGAAATGGGTTTGCTTTTCCACATTTACACCTTGAATTAATACGATTTTGACATCCTTAAAAGATGCTTGCCATCTTGAAATATAAACGACTGTTTGCAGATTTTACCATCGAATGGTTTGTTGACATTCACACTGATGGCCGAAGCATATACACACTGGCCGAACTAGCTCTGTTCTTTTGTCCTCCTGTATACTAATGGCCATTACCTTACCTCCGTTACTGAGGACTATCCTTTGGACCAATCACATAGCACGTAAGATGAGCGCCTCCCCCAAGGAACCAATAGACTGCCTCCTCTCACTTTGTCAAGCTCTGGTGATAATGATGACGATAATGGCGCCGCCCAAACTCCGTGGATGTCAACAGCAGCACCGTGTCCCGAAGGGTCGCGCGTGCCGGTCTCGTGGGGCCTACAACCGGGCGGATCTGTGGTGGTGGTTGCGCTGCCCTCCTGTTCACCGCTTCCCGAGGTCCAATCAAGCAATCGTGTCTATCTGCGATGCGACAGCCGGGCCATACGACACGGTCTTCTGGCGATGTTTTTTTTTTCTGACCCGCAGATGAAACTCCCTGGCCCCGTGCACACAGGAACAAAGAGCGCTCCAAGACTCGTTGCCGACGTGAGTGGGTCACGTGGTCGCGGGATGCCCTCCTGTTGCCATGGGAATCCTGCCGTCTGTTGCCATGCTGATAGTTGCGAGAACAAAGAAGTGCTAATTGCCGGCCTTGTATGCACTGTAGTCGTCGCCGTGGACAATACCAGCAAAAGAACATTACTCTGTTGTACGCACACACTTTTCCATGTCGAAAAATCCTAATCAAAAACACAGTATAAGTCTTCCTGAAATTTGATAGGATGCGGCGAACTGTCTACATTTCTGATGCTGGTTTACGAATTTCTAAAAGGGGTTTTAAATGAGGAAAATGTCATCAATCGCAGGCAGCCAAACATGTCCATGTTGAACAATGGTAGTGAGGTTCCTGTTCCGTGTTTGTTTGTCGATGTAGAAAAAAATGAGCGCATTGACTGCGTCAGTGCACATCTGCGTTCTGTAATGTTCTACCTTCACCGACGCATGAATTTATGTCTGCTAAATGTCATTTCATGAAACGGGACCAATGAAGCCATAATTTTTTTTTTTGGCTTTCAGATACAGAGTAAGAATTCATGGAACAGCCGTTTGCGTGTTATCTTATCGTGTCCCAATTCCTACATGAGACCAGTTTTATGGGTTTTTTTCCTCCAAATGTTATGGGTTTTTTCCAAATGTTTTGATGTTAAAAAACATTCATCTCTACATACATCTGGACGCGTGTTCTGGTATCGATTCTTTTGTCAGTTTATTGTTTTCTCTGCGTGAAGCTCCCAAATTAAATATGCACGAAGTGACAGATGTCGGCGGCTTACATGACGTCACCGACGGCCAATATGGCGGCTGCCGGTGAAACAGACGACTGATGTGTGTTCGAAACGATGTGCAGGGATAAGTTTCAGCTGTTCTGGGCGTAACAACATTTGCAAAACAGTAATTCGAACCTGGGTCAAATATGAGTTTTGTGTAGCAGTTCTCTTGTTCACAAAGTCGTTACTGTTAGCGGTTTTTGCGGTAGTATATAAAGTGACAGCGGCAGCGAAAAGAGTTTATTTACAAAGGACAAAAGATTGTTGAGATTTCACTTGAAAGACTTTCTCAGTGCTGAAATTTCATGTCACACCGCACGGGGCTTTTAAGGGGGCCATAGGGTCACTACCATGAGACTGACGGGAACACTCACGCACAATGTTGTTCCTCAAGATCGCGGGCAGGAGCAGCCCTCCAGCCTCGCTCTCGCTTCGAAGATGCGTTGCTATGGTCACGCAGCACCTGTCCTCCAAGGAAACCATTCTCCTCCTCATGTTGACCAGGGTCATTTCTGTTTTTGCCGCGGTGGAGCAGACGAAGGGGTAGAGCTCGCAGGTGTAGCGATTCAGCCCGGTGAAGGCTTCCCCGAGGCACACCCCGTCTTTGTAGAAGGTCAGAGTTCCCTTGATGCCGTCGAAGAGCAACCCAACAGTCGTCGGCTGTTTTTCAGGGAAGGGGTCGGTGAAGGGCGTGGAGGTGCCGCCGTGCCACAGGAGACCCTTGTGGGACAACCCCCAGCTCTGTTCGTTCTCCCCCAACATGTTGATGAACTCGTCGATGTGGAGCCGGGTCCGCTTGGTCCCGATGCCGAACATCATGCTGGTGCCGAACACCCGTCGCGAGAGCCGCAGCTCCCAGTAGAACCGGCCCCGGTTCAGCACCCGGGTGCCCCGGACCCCGGCCGTGCCGTTGGACCAGTTGGGGTGGAAGACGGCGGTCTCGTTCCGGGCTCCTTGGAGTTTCACCTCGTGCGATTTGTCGGCTTGGCTCCAAGACCAGAAATCCTCGCATCCTTCGTGCAGCAGAGGCGATGTGGTCGCCATCTTGAATGATGATGTAGTTATATAGTGTTTATGATAAGTGCGCAGGTACCAGTATCCAACTCACGATAGCAAGGTGGTTTTTCCCGTACACAACGCTATGACTCGTGCATGCAAAACAACCGGAGTGGATTATTTGTGCGATTTGATGCGTCGATGTTTCCAACTCCCAAGCCGGCACATTGCTGGTCTCAACTCTCCTGGCCTTGCCTCAAAGAGCCTGCAAAAACTCACATGATGCTCTCCCGGCACTGCAACCACCGATGTGACGAGTTTTCACCGACAAATGTGGCGTTTTTATAGCCGGGCGGACGGTAAAAAAAAAAAAAAGCTGCGGCCGGGCTCAGCTTGCCGCAGCCCGCATATTACAAGTGTCAGATAATTGCATTCGCGTGCCGTGAACTCGTGGCCAGGCGGCACGACGGCCTGTGATTGGTCGTCGCTAAGGCTAGTCGCGTGCGGGTTGTATCTGCTCTACATATTCAAGTAGTTCTCAGCGCATCCATCCACAACTTTAATCCCCCATCTTCTAACCCTTACATTTCTCCAATCCCTTCTGTCAACATAATCAATATACGGACTCTTGTCTCTCCCCCCCCCCCCCCTTCCCATTCACGATATTTGTTGGCCCTTCCGTTTTTCTGTGTTGGTTCGACGAGACTCACTTTTAATTTTCACTTTGGGAATCTTTTGTCCTGTCGCTGTGTAGTATAATGAACTGACTACGGAGACCAGGGACCGGAGCGATCTGTGAGGGGGACAAAGACGGGGTCGCCCTCCCGTGGCATATGGCGAGGCACGGTGCCCATCAGCACCCTAAAAGCCGGTCAATATGGATAAATAAGTTTCGGACCAGAGACGATCGCATACATTAGCTAAAACAAGCTTGGATCAACATTCACAGGCTATTTTCTTTCTTTGTTTCTACCGGTTTCCAAGTATAAACTAGTGGGTTTTTTTTTAATTATGACAATGATTCGTTACCATGATCTATCACGTTGAACTCATCTAAATTTTAAACTCAATCATTTTGTTTACCCACGGCAGTTTCACGCATAAAAAAGTACGCCCTCTGTTGGCGAGATGGAGTTAGTGGTAATACCACGTGACATCCTAGCGCGATGTAAATAAACATTACGCGCAGCGATCCCTTTGTTTCGTTGGTGGATTTAAATACCCCGCGAAAGATATAAAGATTGATTGGTTAATTAAAATGAATATGCAACAGATTACCAAATAAGGCTCTACAAACATCAATGAAGCTATGTACGGTCGACAGTTGCCATCTAGCGTGCACAAATTCTGATAATGTGTGTTTTTTATGCAGCGTGTGACTTGTGACCTGGTTCGATTTGGCGTTTTTGTGCCGTCATTTCCACTTCGAGAAAACATCATTTTTAAACTAAAATGCAGTTTTGTGACGCATACTTGGTCAATCTATCAATAAATGGGTTATCTAGGTTCACGTTGATATAGACGAAAGGTTCGGGTCGACATGCTTTCGTGAGATTTTAGCCAATATTGAGGGTGAATAAAACAGGAATTCGTCAAGTCGCGACGTACGAAGTGTACATGCAGTGTCATGGCGTGACGAGTGGGGACCTTCGTGGCCATGTTGTGGCATGATTTCGGAGATTCAGACGGAAATCTCAAAGGTAAGCCTACAGATTATGTATTTACTCTGCTCAGAAGATGTAGTTTTTGTAGTTTCTCCTTGTTTTTAGCCCGCGACACAAGGATTTTGTGTACGTACGCCGCGCCATGACAGGAAGTCATTACAGTAATGTCGTACATGAAACAGTCGTAGCGTAGGCGCCTTGAGCTATCCCACAGCACGCACTTTTGGACGACGCAACGACTCGTGTATGTAGAAGACTTTCATCTAAGAAATATTTCTGCCCAGTGTGCCTTGCTAGTTGCAATTACCCAGAAATCGTATTCGTAATAAATAATCACAATGCATTCCATAATCCTAACAAGGAAATCTTCCAATTTCAATATGATTTTTACATTTTACTAAATTATAGCATAGCCCTACAAAAATGTAGGTTACATTGCCATCATTTCCTTTTCGCCCTCACTGTTCAGCTGTTTATAATTGTACTTTCATGACTTTGTAGAGTATTTTTTTCATTAATTTCAAATTTGACCTGGGAAAATGACTTGAGACTTAGTTTAAATTGGACCGACTTAACATTTGTACCTGGGACCAAGTTGACCTGGAAGTGGAACTGAGTTGGCCATGCTGTCTCAGACGGTCAGACCCCGTCTGTTAGGGACCAAGTCGGTAACAGTCTTGTGGTTGTTGGGTACGGAGTTTACTCCAAACCCATGTAATGCATGCTCTTGTTCTTGTTGTGTACAAACACAAAAGTCACGTAACTGTACAAGAACTTGAATGTGTACTTTAATTTGCCATCTAGACCTATTGGTTGTCTCTCGGACGCTGTGGAGGAGGTTGGCCTACATTTCTTCTTATGCGGAGTGTACGGCATTCCACCATGACACGCAGATGACGTACCCTGCCCTGACGAAGGATACCTTCAGAAAATTGACAACTTTCATCGGTGAGCATCTTGATATTATTTTACTTAAAAATTGATCATGGCATGTATGTACATGTACATGCATGTACATACATCATGTACATGAATGTACATGTTTACATGTATGTCTGTGCCTATAGAAAAATATAAAATATGAAACTTTCTTATCTTCTATAGTTTTTAACACTCATATTCAATGCAAGAAAAATCCCAGCAAAGTTGTTTAAGATAAGACACAGACAACAATCTTGAAAATAACCTGGCAATAATTTTCAACAAAGACTTTTGAGACGTTTCCTTTTACCTGTCCTTTTCATTTTTTTTACGTCACATTTAACCTAATGTGCACATGTTCAAATTGACGTCAACACCAGAAAAGGACTGGTGTATTTGCTGCCACCATGCATCTCAAAGTATCCCATTAACTTTGTTCCATTTGTTATATTCTTGTTGGCTTTCAGGTTTGAAGAGTTTCTTCCTATTTCTGGATTGAAGATGGCAAAGACATGCATGGCCTCGTATAATGGACGAGCTTTGGATTCCTCCGCATCTGATCTGTACTACCCACCCATTGCGATTGAACTCCGTATCAGTTCCTGACCATGCCATGACATGGCCATGTTCATTCAAACAGCCCAACCCCCACTCTGAACCTTTCTAAATAGTCCATGGTGAGGAGTACATGTACATGTATTTTCAGTGTGATCTGAATTGGGAGTGGTAGGTGTAGTCTGTTCGCTGCCTCCCTGTCCCAGATGCTTGAATAACATAGTTGACGTAAACATTTCATAATGAATAACTTACTGCCGGAGGAATTGAGAAAGTTTGGGAATTTAGGAGATAACTGGAGGTAATCATTGATCAGGACAGTTTCTGTTTTGTCGTTAATGCCATTTCAGATGGTATATATCTTGTCAATGTCACCACAAACTGACACTTGCGCACACATGAGTGCGCTGCACGCGTGCGTATTTACAGATTCGGGATATTTTGGGTTTCACGAACTGACATCCTCCACAGTGCGACACTTTTAGAGTGCACCCATGCATTTTGGGTTTCACGAACTGACACCGATCTTAATTTTAACCAATTAAATCCCTTTTTAATGAAAAATTTGTACATGTTTAATCACACAAGTACACGGATAGATGTATTGCCGCATCATGCTTGGGTGTCAGTTCGTGAAAACAAAAATAGTACAAATATGCCTTGTTGCCTCTAAAAGTGCCGCTCTGTGGTGGATGTCAGTTCGTAAAACCCAAAATATCCCGGTTCTGTAAACACGCGCGCTTACAGCGCACACACGGGTGCGAGAGTGTCGTTCGTAGTGATGATGACAATCTGTACCTGATTTCACGACACTTATTGTAACCTACGATGCATCGTTGTATCCCTAGGATGACGCATCCTGTGATTCATTTCACAAAATATGCTGTAAGTGCGACACGTCGTAGTGTATTCAAAGGACAAACGGTGACTGCATGTACATGTACATGTATTTTCATGTTATGTATTTATTCAATGAACAGTAAATAGTCGTCGAAAAGTCAACAAAGAGTCGTCGATTGTACTTGTGAAAACTTTTCTAAAATATTTAACAAAATTGGCGATGTATGATGCATTCACACTGGAAAAGAACTTCACAGTGGACTGTGTTTGCATCAAATTGTGAAGCGATGAAGTGCTTTGTAAATCTGCGGGTGCAGGTCATCCAGGTACGTGTACACCGAAGTACGTATGTGAAATTTTAATTAAGCGAAAATTTGAAACCTGAAATTGCCATCACCACCACTTATGAAATAGTGCAGTTGAACTGCAGTGCAAGCTCCTTTCTCCAACAAAATATTAATAATAAATAAATATAAAAAAACCTTTACTGTCTTCAGGTGTGAGGGTATGCTTAAATCCATTTGCCCTTTCATAAAGTTGAATTTTTGAATCACTTTCTTGAATCAACTGCAACTACCCTACTTAATTTTTCAGACTTTTCATAGTTTTATAACTTGCCAAACCTGATTTCACTAGTTGAGTTCATACCTGCATTACATGTGCACTTTATTTACTTGTAAAATATGGCTGTTGTGAAGTTTCACTTCTGTAAATGAAACTTTTTTTTAAAAATGATATGGATTGGTTGTGAAATAAACAATGCGTTTATTGCCAAACAAAAACCTATTTGTTATTGTTTTGTTTAAGCTATAGATCCAATTAATTGTCAGCAACTTCCCCCAGAAAATTAAGAAGATAGAGTGTCTAGCTATACTGATGGCAAATTCATGCTTGGTTTTGGATTGTGCTGCTTTAATATGCTGTACAACACTCACTCACTCTACACTAAACATTTGTGAATTTCGGATTGTGTGTTTATTTTGTCCACAGTGAGTGTTTTCATCTAAAGACAGATATAGATGGTTCTTTATTTCTATGTTATCTGTTTTGCATTTTATGATTTTTTTTTTCAATGTCTTGCGATCGTCCCGAATGCGATGGTTTTACGTACGTACACATGTACAATGTACATGTACAGTACATGTGTACACGTTGTACGGCGCTTTTGTGTACACAACACACGCGGCGCTAGGCCAGTTGGTACCCGCGCGCCAGTTTGCATGTATTAGTGGGATACTATATCGTAAACCAGCGATGCAGCAGCCCGAATTCTCAGCGAAGCTTTGGAATTGTAGTCTGACTTTCAACGTCTATATTTTATTTTAAAATGTCGACCCGACCAAGAAAAAGTATGATTTGGCTATTTTCATAACTGAATAATGGTATCAACATAAAGATTTCTTCTGAAAAACTGCGTTTCGCTTTTATTGAAGGCTTTTAAAAGTCTTCGATACGCGAATAAATTCATCCCGCATTGCAAAAATGTTGGCGAAAATTCCCCTAAAACACACCTTAGCATATAAATTATACCCCTTATTCATTTATTTCCTAAGGAAAACATCATATCCCGTCATAGCCCGTCATTTATGATAATAAAACATATTTCTAAAGTGTCTAATTTTGACATTATTTGGGACGAAACGTCGATGTTTTTTTCTGTATGTGGACGGCGCCATGTTGTGTGACGTCACCGGCATCATTGGAGTTCACAAATACAGCACTAACGCCCTACAGAACCTTTTTGTGTGTACGCGCTATGCATGTGGAACTGCCGTGTACCTTCATGGGGGAAATTTTAGAGTCTTTGCACGATCGTTCGGTCACTTTTGAAACAAAGAACCTAAGTTTCATTCTTGTCCTATTATGTCAAGTAGTTATTCCTGAATTGTCAACATCGTTCGTTCCCCTTAACATGTTTCGGTTGGCAAGTATTTTTTTAGCTGGTACCAATTCGGTGTGTAACTTCAAACACGATTTGCTCTTCTTTGTCTCTAGTTGTACGAATGTACTTTCGCCCGTCTGTCTGTGTTTATCAAATTCCGAAATCGACCCAAACTTGAGAGCATCCAAAACCGGTAATAGTTGCGAAAACCTTCAATAAAAGAAAACTGACACGATAGATGAAATACCCAGTCCACACGCTACTTGAGTGCTGCACAAGTCTATCAATAAACATCTGGTACCAAATCTTTATTTCTATATACATTCTCTCAAAGTCGTGCCACCAGACTACTCAAATTAATAGACATGTACCAGTCTATTCTGATGCCTCAAATTGAAAATACATGGCGCAAAAGTTTCAAGGAAAAAAACTCCATGTTAACATTTGAATTTAGATTTCAATCTTTGAACTCGACAAAATACTCAGGACATTTGGAAATCTTAGGGGAATTTTGCCGATTGTTTTCTCTACTCGAGGTCACAGTCTGCGGATGTTTTCGAAACACCGGCTTCGACTGTCATTTCGGCTTCACTTTGGCTTCAGATTCATTGATGAGAAGCCTTCTAAAACAAAAGCGGACACCGAGGTTTTGAAAGAAAATGTGGTGTTTTTTTTCTCTAAATTTGCTTTAACACCCAACGCGCACTGCGACCGTGCGCCAGGCGAGACCGCAGCCCGACTGCCGGCCACGGAGCCGGCACAACATCCGCGTGTTGCTCGTGAGAAACGGCGGAGGCAGTGGGTAGCTACAGAACCCTGCCGCCCGTCCTTTGTCCGTCCTCGCCCCATGTCCCTCGTACACTCGCACCGGTTTCACACCACTGCTTTCCAATCTTCTACTATTTTCTTTTAAATACCAGCAATAAAATATGAAAATCCTGGCCCGGCGAGTAACCAGAGACGGGCTTCATTAGCGCCCGGTGCACGCTGTGGCGAAGGGAAACCCTATTAGACCCTATACTGACAACATGCTGGTCGGTGGCCTTTCAGACAATGACGGACTCCACAATGCAAATTGGAAACTTTGAACGGCACTTGCCGGTTTTTAATTTCTGCAAGAGCATCTTGAGATTATAGGTCATTCCTTGCAAATTCAGGGTTCAAAAATGGTGTCCACGTTCAAAATGACCTATGGAGCAATCTGGCCTTCAAAGATGCAAATACAGATTGGGAAAAAAAACGAACAAAGAACGAACGAGTGAGAACGTAACCACTAAGAAAAAAATAGTTGAAGTCGCAGAAACAATGATTTATATAGCCCCAGCGACAATAAGTTTGACTCGGTCACCATGGCAATTTGTGTCATTCAGATACAACGACAATTATTTACACTGACATACAGACACAATCACTGTCATGACGACACAGCGACAATGCATCAGTTACAGCGACAACGATTTTCAAGACAGCATTCAGAATAATTTTCATGACGTCACAGCAACACAAATTCTAATTTCTGTTATGTCACAGTGACTGAGCAGCATCAGTACATCGTGACAATCATAAATGAAAACAGCCACAATGAAATACAATTTCCAAGACAAAAATGTATACTTAAATCACGAAAAGATATTTTAACAAGCAAACCATTTTTTTAATGGAGTATAATTAGACCAAGGCTACTAAAATACCATCCGAAGCAGGATTTTCCCAAATAGAACAAAATACACTTATAACATTAAATACGAAAGTTAAAAAAAAAATATCCTCGTTTCTTAAAGACGAATCTTGCACTTAGACAAAGCCCTGCGTCTTGGAGTCAGCATCTCTTTGTTCCCCGGCCAAGAACAAAGAAGATGCCTTTCTGAGAGCAGCTCGTCTAGAGCTACAAGACGCCGCGCCGTGACGTGCCGGCGGCCGGTACGCCAGCAAGCAGCAGCGAGAGGAAGACAAGACCGTACTCTTGTGCTCAGTATGGGCCGGGGTGGGGGCTGGCTTGCCCTCTCTGGACCCCGACTGGCCATAGTCAAATGCTCACTTGCTGGAGAGAACAAAGCCACTACTTCTCAAGCGAATGACCAGGACTAAAAAATACCCTCATAAAATCTTATGGCGATAATAGTATCCCGCGGTCATATGTAAGATCTCACTATGTAAGACCGACCCATAAACCTAAGACAATGATCTTCGTTTGGTGAAGGAACACCTACAGCCTAAAGGAATACTTTCAAGAAAAAATGAGGGTATTCTTAGCAAAAAATCAACTGGAGGTTCCCACCATGAGTTTTTGGACATTTTGTTTAGCCTAGGTTTCTTAGTTCACCTACCGTGTTTTCTAATTTCATTGAGTTGTTCTCGTGAGTGCGTGGCACATTCATTCAACGATCTGTTCATAAGAAAAAAGGAAAACTCACTTGTGAAATTCAGAATATTTTGTTTCGAGTTGAAGACCTAAGACGAAGGAAAACACACCTTTATCATTTGGCCAACATGAGTCAGATGCTTAACATTATTGCTCACACAAAGCCTGCTTCATTGTGGGCAAACGAAAGGCCAAAACTGATCTCTCTCAAAAGGCTTTTTCTTGGTCTAAACACCATACGCATGAAAAAAAGTTCCAACTCTAAGAAATTGTGCTGTCTTTCCACAAGTAGGCCTACAAAACACTTTTGTTGGAGGGTTGGGTCTTTCTTTATTCAATTTTCTATACAATTATCTTGATCCCAAATTCAAGCTATTGGTATGGCCACAGTCAGCTAATCCTATTTTAATGTCATATTACACCCAAAAACGACACAAAGGAAGATTATGAAACTCGACACCAAAAAAAAAAAAAGACACCTATGAAGCAGTTAGACGTCTTCGTATTGTGAGAAATGATCACCCACGGCACGTGGCCAGGCGCTCCCATTCTATCGATCCCGTTCGAGTATCTACCCATCGGATAAGCCCGGGCCCAAACAAAGGGGGGCTACGCAGTATTTGCTTGTGAAAATATCCACCCCGTTGTTGAAAACAACAACGGCGTCTAATTAAACATTCGCGCAAGCGGCACGCGCCGACGCGGGGCGCCTATTGTTCCCGGGTGTGGTACGGTGACAGCATATGGTGTGCTGGGGAAGGGTTAATGAGAATTTGGAAGGGAGGGGGAGACTATGGGCGGAAGCATAAGTAAGCTTTGTCTTTTCAGGGGGAGATGGTATAGATACAGAGGCAG